ATCTCCAGTTACTTGTGCCAAATATCCATATAAATGGGTAGAGATGAACCTACTCCTGACTCTTATCCCAGTCACTTCAATGGTGAACTGCTTATTTTGGTGACCATCCAGGGTTGATCACCTTAGATTGTTTAAGTAAAAGGCTGTACTCACAGTTAGCCAGGCTGACACCACCATAGCCATCCATCCCGTTTGCCTTCAGCTTACGGGCCCAGTCACAGCGCTCAAAGACTTTAGCACTGGCCACAGTTATCAAAAGCAAGAAAACAAACACACTCCTCATGATGATGTCTGTGCTGTTTCACAGTTGCTGCTGAATCTCCTTATTGCTGAAATAGCTCAGCTGAAAAAGCTGTGACTGTCTGGGTTCAGATCAGAGGATCCAAATGTGCAATAAATGATGGGTTACGTGAAAAAGCTGGGTTCATGATTACACAATCCAGAGAGACAAATAAAACACACTGAACGAGATGAAATGTATTCCAAAGTTCAGGAAAGTTAACAAACAATAAATAAAACCCAATGAAGGCACTGAGCCCAAAGAAACACTAAATGGAAAGTCCAAATTACTCATATTTGAGATGCTGCTCCACGGGGCGCACTAATGGCAGCTCACTGTGACAGCAAGAATAGGAAAGGGGTTTGTAAGGTGTAGCAGAATTATAACAATGTAATGGCCAGGTATTACATGCTTTTCATTAGAAAAATGATGCCATGAACCACTCTAAAATCAACATGTGATGTTATGAAATAAAAAAATGATAAAAACAGGCTCACAGAAAAGGTGACTCATGGAATTAGAGGCCAACAGGGTTTGTGCTTGAGCACCACCTGGGGTCTGTCTGTGCATGTGCCAGCCCACTTTGCTCCTTGAGGTGATGGTCAACTTGTAATGCTGGCACACTTTGCAAGAAAAATCAAAAAAAGTTGTTGGACTCCATCTTTACTCTGCAGGTGTAGTGCAACTGAGCTACATCCTTGAAAAAAAAAAGATGAATCTAGGACTATTGAGGATAGATAGGTGCCTAGTTTATACTTTATGTATTTGGTTTTGGGGTTTAGTGTAAATTTCTAGTAGTAAAAGCATAAGCATGGTAAAGATGACCACTCACAGTTGGTATTCTCATTAAAAATGAAAATCAGTGTTTGATTAGTAATCAGTTTTAGACTGCGTTAGCTTTGTTCCTATTTTTGTTAATGTGTGTTATGCCACAAAATGAGCTCTTTCACTTATGTTTTGGTCTTACATGGTATGACCATGTATCAACTGTTTTATATAGTTTCTATAATTTCTAATGTGTAATTAGATTGGCATACATTAATGTATTTTCTTTTTTTACTTATGTTTCAGCACAACTTCATGCCCAGCTAATCTAAGGAACTTGGAAAGAAAAGCGTCAGAACTTCTTTAAGTTTCTTGGAGACATTTCACCTCTCATCCGAGAAGGTTCTTCAATTCTAAGAACAATTGATGGAGAGTCCCAGATTGAAGCCCTATCAGAGTGTCCCCAAACTTTGGTAAAGGCAGAGGATGATTGCAATCTTTACCTAAACCATATTAGGAAACAGATCCAGGTCAATGCCTCAGCCTCTGTATCACCTCTCTTTTGAGAGATTTACCATGTTTGCTACATTGTTGTGCTTCTTTTCACTCATTTTACAGCATACAGTTTGGGTTAGTTGAGATCTAGGACAGATGATATAAGAATAATTTTGGGATGTTTTAAGGGTGAAATGTGCTGCAGGATCATTAAAACATTAATATTGTTTCCCCAGTTATAGCAAGTTCAAATTTATCTAAAAAAACAAACAAAACTGTTGATCAAAGTTCAGTTACCTAACACACGCAGAGACTGGGACGAAACATGTTTCAACATATTTGCTCAAATTGACCCGCACTTAAAATACACAGCACACTGAATATGATAAACACAAAGTGGCTGCACTCAAATGTGCTGCACTTTCTGCTTAATGGGAATCCATTCTATCTGTGATAAGTATGGTTTATATTAAAGCAACGGCTGGTCATAAAATCTCAACAGGCCTTTGAAGGCTGATGGGTAAAAAGAGGATGTTTCATGCCTTATATGACATTCCTCTTTCTGCATACAAAGATTCCTATGAGTGCCACATACTCTACTCTACTTTGCTAGACCCTTCCCTGCACAGTTACCGCTGGTTTCCTCTTTGTGGAGCAAAGTGGGCGATAAACAAACGAGAGAAAAGCTGATCAGCTGATCACTGATCAGTTTCATGATTTAATTAGCAGAGGGTGGGGAGAGGGGGCGAGAGAAGAAGAAGCACCTGCGATGTCAGGAAGTCAGTGACAGGTAAACCCACAGGAAGTTTTTCTGCCCTATCGGCTACAGGATGATGCGAACTGTTTCTACGAATATGTTACACGATCAACGATCGGAAGATAACAAGTTACGTTAAACAAAATCACTAATTGTGATTTAGGTTCAATACGAAACGTTTGAGGAAAAATCTTAACGACATGCTGTCAGTGAAGGCATCACACAGGTATTGACATGTTGTCATTTAAGTGTATTTATTATTGCCTGTGGCTTCCTGACTGACTTCAGCCACTCACAATGTTTGTTTTAACATTCAGTGAAGGCCTCACAGAGGTACCCATGTTCCCCTTTATGTCAGCTAATTTTGATGCTTTATAGTAAGTGTTGTTCACTTTGACCATTTGAAAACTTTTTCTCTCTTCTTTGTTGCATTTAAGTAGAGAACCCATTGCTTTCCCCAAAAACCATCCTGTCACAGGGGAAGAGGAGGAGGTTTTGACCTAAGTGACTGAACTGGTCAAATTGTCGATCTGACATCGAGAGGAGATTGAAGAACCTCTCTCTGCTGTGGCTCCTCTGTAAGTACACTGTAATGATTAGCTATGAAAACCTGTTGTTTCTTTATCACAAAACTTCCTGGTTGGTGTGGAATCACGGTTTTTTTCAAGGAGACCACAAAGAACAAAGAGGGTCAACAGGAGAAAGTGTAGAAAATTGGTGCAGATTAAAGGTAAATGTGCTCATAGACATCTATGATATGAAAAGCTGCTACATTAAAAGTTAGAATCTTACTTAAGTATTAATAAAAATGTTTTATCATCTATAATGTAAATTTCATGCATTCTTCTGAATCATATCAACAATATTATTGGATTATAATTATTTATTTATGTGTGTATCATTATAATGTTGGTTGATGTTTGGAATAACCTATATGCTGCTGAGTAACTTTATTTACAATAAAATAAGATCATAAAGTAAGTAGTAAGTAAGCTTTACAATAAATTGCAAGGGGCACACATTGTCTAATCTAAACTACAATGGAGCTGAAGAAGAAAACTGAAAAACAAAGACATATCTGATTGTATTATAAAGTGAGGACAATTTCAGTTAAGTGCTGTAAATGTACTGTCAGTATCACTGGTGATATTACGAGATTACCAGCACTCTAGCCCAGCACACATGTCTCTGTGTAGGACATGAGAAAAAAAAAAGTTTCCTCCTCTCTCTGCTCATCAGTGTGTAACTCAACCAAATCCATGACATCTGTGTTCTCCACAGTCTGGTGGTTTTCTGTTTTCTCTGCTACATCTCACAGATGTAACATTTTCTACAGCTACTTTTAGTACCACTGATATTCATTTAGACTCTTTTTCTCCAATCGATCTTTCTGAGTTAACTTCAATAATTACTTCCTCCAGTTTCACATACTGCGCTGCAGTGGTTTGTATCATATCTATCTAATAGACTCCAATTTGTACATGTAAATGGAGAGACCTCTTCACACACTAAGGTCAATTATGGAGTTCCACAGGGTTCGATGCTAGGACCAATTCTGTTTACATTATATGGAACATACATTCCCTTAGGCCAGGTGTGGGCAATTCCAGGCCCCGAGGGCCGGTGTCCTGTAAGTTTTAGATCTCACCTTGGGTCAACACACCTGAATCGCATGATTAGTTCGTTACCAGGCCTCTGGAGAACTTCAGGACATGTTGAGGAGCTAATTAACCATTTAAATCAGTTGTGTTTGATCAAGGACAAATCTAAATGTAGATTATGGGTAGTGTATAAGATGTGTTTGATAGAAATGTAATGATATAGGTCACAAATGA